GAAATTTATTGTGGTCATAAATGAGAGTTTTTGCGCTGCAGGATACTAACCCAACGTATAAAGAAATGGAAAGAAATTAGCTGATGACAAATGACTAGAGTCTAAAAATGCGCCTGAAGTTGTTCATAACATTCTTTTAATCTTTTGCCTCTGCCATAGCTTTAACGTGCCCTTTTCTCCTTTGCTTTCAGCAGCAATTTTTAAAACATTAATTGTGTTCGCCTAAGAATGAAAACTTTGATAGTTATTTAAAAATTTCGAATTTCAGGTTTTTGCTAGAAATATTCGTTTTATCTATTTTGATTTAATAATAAACTTTAAAATAGTGTTTTTTAGGATGTTTGAATGGATGTCTGCAGGCTTCATGCTATGATTTTAGATATGTAATTCAAGTTAGAGAGTTTCTTAAAAGTAAAAAACTTTATTAAAGCAGTTTTAACACTGGGAAAAGACGAGTTTTGAATTAAAAGTCTAAAGAAGATAAAATAATAAATCAGACCTTATACTTGTTAAAATAAATTACAGTATGTACAACACTTACTTTTGTATTTAATAGCATTTTTATACTTAGTCGTAGAGATACTCTTTATGAACTAGCAATTTAATTATTTGCAGGTATGATTACATAAAAAATTAATAGGAAGATAAACATAATATTATTATTTGGTGAGTTTAATTTACTTTAATTAATAAAAGTAGTAATTTGATCAATCACCGCTTGTTTTTGCATTTAACGACACACTTAAGCATATAGAGAACGTATTCTTGAAGGATATATACTCTTGATCATTTAAAGTGCTACAAAAAAGCAAACAAACAAAAAGGCAAACAGCAAGACTTATTTATTGCATATATACAGTATAACGGGAGGAAGACAGAATTGCAGATTTCATTACACGCAGCTACCACATTTGGTAGCAGCAATGGTTGTAATTCGCCTAGCCATCGAGCCGAAAGGAGCTTGGATGACAATTATTTCATTCTACACCAGCTTCAGCTCTATATCATAGTTCATCACTTGTAGTGGCTGACGACCAGTGGCGCGACAGTTTCTCGGTAACATATGATCAAGTGTTCTGAATGGATGAAAGAGTTAGAGAACTAACTGGCCAGAGCAAGAGTCGAACATCTTCTGTGCCGATGAAGGACAGAATAGTACGGGCAACATGCTGTCAAGCATATTTTCTGGTTGAAAGATGGCCTCTTGCAGCCTTCGCAGGTAGGGCACTGCCTCAGGCCTTAACACCTAAGAAATGTGATGGCGGTTGTCCACACTGCAGGCTAAGCGAACAAGAGGTAATTGAGATGTGTTCCCAGTGGCACCCCATACTACCACATCAAGTGCGTGTGACGATGACGACTGCAACCTGGCAAAATTTTTAACCTCGATGCGTTCACACATGATTACGTCTATGATATCTGAAAAGATGATACGGTACTACTCTCGTATCCAGTGTTGTCACTATAGGCTCACCTGCCTCTGCTGCAGCATCAAAGTAAGCTGCAACTATGATCGCCATTCTGACAGTCCGTGGCACTGTATTCGTATTTGCACTGTCTATACGGGCTCTTGTCTCATTGTGTAGGAGCCAAGTTCCTGATTTAGGGACTATGATGTGGCTGTGATCGTGAAAGGCTGAAAGAACAATGACTGCAGCCTGCTGAGATCCTGCATGGCATTCAGTACGGCCCTTTTCGATTCATCAATTCCTTGTTCGCCTGGCGGCATGTGATCTCAATCATAAGCATCAGGAGCAATGTCGCGAAACGATAAACCTCAGTCCCGTTAGGCCGTACTGCCGCACTCGAATCCGGATACGTACTGCTAAGAGTTTCTCCTTGCACAAGGCATAACACAATCTTTGCAAGAACAACCAATGTTCAAATGCGATTTCCAAATGAGAAACTCGTTGTATCATGTTCCCCTTACATACACTATGTAAATGGTGTTATTCATGCCTGCTTTGTGCATATGCTCGGGAATGCTAATCATTTGCCCAGCATGTAGTATCAGGTTCAATGTTCCGTCTTACTTTCTTCGGGAACATGCAAGGACCTGACTCGGAACAGAGAGCTTACTAAAGCTATGTTCAATAACTGTGGGAAGTAGACAGGATATACAAGAAGGGTATACAAAACCCTTTATTTTTCTCTATTTACAATAATTTCCGTACTTCGGAATACAAAGACCCACTACTTGTGGTCTAAACGTAAGAATATAAAAATATAACTAAACTCTAATTTAACTTTAAAATAATAAACGTGGAAGATTGGCCTTATATTAACCGAAAGCCGTATGTAGTACAGAGAACTGCGAACACTACAATACGTTTAAAGTTATCAAGAGGATTAAACCTCTGGCCTGGAAGGCAACCAGCAACTGAGTAAAACTTCTAAGGTAAGCGGCCTGCTTCGACTAACTGCTTCCTCTCTCTCGCTTGGCAAAAAGCCACAACTTAAATACTTGGCGCTCGCCAGACAAACTTTGCATAAATACGTTAACGCTTATAATTCTGGCCGGAAGTAGAAAATAAGAAGTGATAGTAAAGATTTAAAATAAAATAAACGTTAGTAAAACTTAAGATCCTTACAGTAGTACCTTTCACGCAGATTTGACATTTCTTGCATTCCGTCCTCATTTTCAGTTACCGCCGCATTCAATTTTAATGGCTAGCAGTATAAAAATAATTAGATAAATTATATATCTATACAGATGGCTTCTGGAAAAGACTGAGATGTGTCATGATGATCAGAGTGATGAAATCAAAGTCTTCACGTTAAAACCGAAGACTGGTGCAATCAGTAGTCTCGTTCTAGTTGGTCGAACGACATATTTTAAATTGACGTTTTTCATGGTTAAAAGGTACGATTTAGATTACATATTAGAAATATGTATCATATTGATCTAGTTTATGTATTTTGATACGAAATTTAAAACTTTTTTTGAAATGATCAGTAGATTTTTTTCTGTTTAGAAAAACCCTGGTTCATGAAATTAATTCTTTCCTGAAGATTGTTCATTACCCTACATGTTCTTAAACCAAAAACGTTTTCACCCGTAAGTATTCATATAAAACAGATTAATCCTTTCCGGGGTCCCAAATCATTACTTATAAAAGGGTACTTTTTACGTTAGATTGTCAATTAAAGTAAATGGAATTCATTAAATCTAACACACACTAACTTTTTTTTTATTCTAATAATATTAATGAAATAAAATATAAAAACGAGAAAATTTAATTTAATTAATTTTTTCGGTAACTCTATGAAGGAAATTTGGCGGTGCAAGTATTATAACGTATTTTCTCCCTCCTTCCAACATACTTTCGTGCTGTAAGGGTAGCACACTCGGCACGAACTCAAGTGGTCCAGGTTCGAGTCCCGCCGAGAGCAAAGGTCATTTTACATTTCTTTTGCTTTAAAAGAAAACAGCTAATTAAGGATATGGATAACCAGGATATGGCGATTATTGGGTCTTCTAATCTCCAGCCACTCTTTAAAAGTGGAAATATATAAGGTATTTTCTCCCTCTTTCCAACATGGGTTTGTGATGCGACTCCAGCACACTCAACGCTTATTCTAGAGATCCAAGTTCGATTCCTGGCAAGGGAATTGCTCATTTTTCATGTTTCTTGCTTCAAAATAACCTAATGGTTCTACAGTAAAAAACGATAAAGTGAAAGGTGCCAAATTTCATTGTTTGAGAGAGAAATTTACTGCGTTTCTGGTTTATTTTTGTGTTAATAACGCTGGCTTCCGCTCGATTTTTATTGGGTCTTCGTTTCATTGAAACTTTGTCTAATTTATTTATTTTTATCTACGTTCTAAACTGTTCTTAAAACAAGATATTACATTTTCATTAATGGCTTTCTATTCTTTTCTCAGGGTGCTAAAGTTGTATGGAATTTCGCACTTCAACGAATTTTGCGCACAAACTGCAATCATATAACGAGGATTAACTAACCTCCATTTCTTCCTCTTTATTTTAAAGGCATTTCTTCCACAGTTACCTTTTGTTGCTTGCTCCATATGAAATTGATCCTTAGAAAATTTTTGAATAGCTTCTACCCTCTCGGGTAAAGGTTTTAAACCCTGTTCAGATACATGAAAACCCAAAAATTCCAAAGAAGTTAAACCAAAACTGCATTTAGATAAGTCTTAACCCATAATTACTTAATCTTTCAAAAAGGGCTTTTAAGTGTATCAAATGCTCATTTTCGTCTTTTGACGCTATCAATATATCGTCGTCAAAAGCAAATACTCCTGGCAGCTTGCGAGTTACTTCATCAATAAAGCGTTGAAAGGTTGCAGCTGCATTGCATAACCCAAATTGCATTCTTGTGCTCTCAAAAAGTCTAAAAGGAGTGGCAGTAGCCGTTTTATGGATATCAGAGGGATTAATCGGAATTTGGTGATATGCTTTAACCAAACCTAATCGAGAAAATACCTTTGTTCCATGTAACTCCGCTGCAAAATCGCAAATATTGGGAATAGGATACTTATCCCTCACTGTCTGAGCGTTTAACCTCCGAAAATCTCCCACAGGTTTCAATTCGTTTGTGACCTTTTTTGACACCATGTGAAGAGAAGAGGAGTAATTACTTTTGGAGGGTCACATGTGACCTAAATTGATCATTTTCTGAGTTTCATTCTTAGCAATTTTTAATCTATCTGGAGCTAATCTCCTTGGCTTACATGAAACAGGAGGACCAATGGTTTCAATGAAATGCATAGTATTATTGAGATCAGGAAGCTTTGACAGTGAAGGATAGTTAGACAGAAATTTATCATAAATACAATTTGTAATAATTATTTAAACAGAATATAAAAGTGTGTTAATTACACTACAGTTAATTTTTAAATGTGTTTTTAAATCAACAAGTTTTTTTTCCCTTAAATCAGGTAATAAATCAAAATAATGCAAGAAATCAGATCCAATAATATTTGTTGACACTTTACACACATAGAAAGCAAAATTAAAATTACGATGAAGTCCAAGGTCAATACTTAACGCCTTTTGTCCATAAACTGGAATAGGGGTACCATTTGCTGCAGAAAACGTCATAATAGGTGTTTGACGCGCTTCCTGTCTGTTTGCTGAAAGAAGACTGACGTCTGAGCCAGTGTCGCACAAAATTATTGTTTTCGATTTCCTGTCTCTTAAGAAAAGGCGGCGAGACTCGGAGGATAAAGCGCATGTCCCCACTACCCTTTCCCTGGAATGTACATGGTGGAACACACTTTTTTGCTTTCTCACTAAATTTATGATGATACCAACAATAGGAACATTTCGAAACAGCTTTACCTGAAGGGCTTCGCTTCCTGTTATAGCGATTTTTGGAAACACTGCGTAATCGTCGTAGAGACAAAACCTCGCTACGCAATTTGCACACTTCCTCCAGCAGGGAATCCAATTTAGAATTCCCAGATACATTGAGAGATACACGAGAAGAAACTTCGTTTACCTGAACGGGTGTAACTTCCAATATTCTATATGCAATACTGGCAGCTTTCGATGAATCGAGCGGCTCAACCGATGCTAGAATAGACTGAACATTTGGCGGCAACTGGTGCATGAATAATTCCAGTAACAAAGAGCCAGGCACATTGTATTTTTCAGCCCGCCTAGTCATTACACGAAGAAGATCTGATGAGTTCCTATCTCCAAGTTGCTCGCCGGTGAGTAATTTTCGTATTTCACTCGTACTGCTTTCTCCACAGCGTTCCGTAATAGCAGCTTTGAGGTCTTCGTAAGAAGCATCTGTACGTTCTCGGAGAATGATATCTCTAACCAACGCAGCAATTTCCGGCGGCAAATGAGCGACGCAGTAGTTAAATTTTGTCTTCGAATCCGTAATAGGCTTGGGTGCGGCTAAAGCAAAAGTTGCTTCACACATAGCAAACCACAATGCCGGGTCAATCGGATTGTAAATTGGAATCTTGACGGCTGCTGTTTCCTCCATGTCAGCGGCTGAAGGGAAAAAACACAAAAGTTCTGGAACCAAACTCTTAACGAACACCGTATAAGCATTTCATGCGAAGTCCAGCCGGATCGCCATTTTATAGTCATTGACGCCGGGTCGTCAAAACATTGTCGACAACAAAAAATTCTTCAGTATTAGAGCACTCAAAGTGTCTGCTTAGAACACACTGCTTAGGCCACAATTTCATCCAGGCTGTATTCATGGTTTTGTAGATTCTTCCTGCTAGGCTATGTTTCGGAGATTGAATATCAATTCAGAAGTTTATGGCTATTAATTCTGTGTTTCAAACCCGTGCTTTAGTTTATAGCTTCTTGAAATTTGTAATAACCTGTTGAATCATTGACTATATTACTGAAGTCGTGTTAAGAGGCAGGAATTAAATTCTAAATAAATCTAAAAATATTATCACTACTCAAAACATTTCAGAAGAACAACTCTTTAATACAATTTTTCTCCTTTGTTGCTTGAAAATAGCCAGTCACCAACGATCACTTTGAGGCTACCATATAAAGCGGAAACTAGTTCTCCATTCCAAAAGACAGTTGATGATGGTACAATCGATGCTGATAGCTGATTGGTTATTAAAAACGAACAACTGAATTTTTTTCACGAAAGGAAGGGATAAAGTAATGCCCCTATCTTTCGGTTTGTTAAGGCAAGTAGAAATATTGTTTGAAACAATTGTTCGTTCGAAACAAATGGATGTGTGATACCAGTCTAACTGTTCCACCAACTTGTCTTCCAAGACAGGAGGAAACGCTGGTGCAGTAACTGCAACAAGAAGGATATTTTAAATAGCAAATCATTCTTGTAAGTATTCCTTCACACCTGATGCTAAGACTTCATAGATACACCCGGCAACATGCCTTATAGTTATCTATCTAATAACAGGCAATTAGATTTTATCACATTACTTTTTAAATACCCTCGAATTCACTTAATGGTACCTACTTAATGGCTTGCTCTTAAGTTTTCGGCCTTGATCTTTCTCATATCAAAAGAGATAAACGATTCTTATATTCAGGCAATTTTGCTTTCGTGATGAATGAATTGTCATGATAATAAAGGATTGATAGCTATTGTCATATAACTTGGAATACAGGAGACATTTTTATCGATTAATTCATTATAAGTTCAAAAGTACTTTTATTTATTTGTCTGAATTTTTCTCTTTCTGTACATAAAAGGTTATATTTTACACATATAGAGATTAAAGACAATTTCAAGTATTACTTCAAATATGACTACCGTACAAACTCTCAGTAGGATCTCTGTGGCGATTTAAAAGGCGTAGCCGCTCTGCTACTGGCCGATTGGTTAAAAAGCTGAGAACTGAGAGTTCGATCTGGGTTCAATCATAGGCAAACAGGCTGGCTGCATGGTTAGCTTTTGTAATTTTTGTCATGTGTAACGCAAATTTGAGCCAGTTTCCCTTACGTTATCCCTCCCTTTAGGCAGATAGCCCTCTTTTGCTTTGCTATTTCAAATAACCTAACTTTAAAGGGTGTAATATTACTTACAGAATTATAAGCAAGTTTCAGCAGATATTGTTTATTAAATTATTTTTACTTAAAAATTAAACTAAAATTGCTTTCCTAGGTAAGCGACAATCTCTGCCTCAGAAAAGTGAAAATATTTTGTGTAGTGAGAACAAATTCATTTATATGAAACATTGCTTGATATAAAAATGTTCAGTTTGTTTCAGCTTTGTATAAAACTGAGTCTCATTAAAAGTTAAAAATAAAGCTTTGCGTATTATGTATGCATATATATGGATTCTAACACTAAGTTTTCTGAAGCATTTGAGTTTAATTCATCGGTTGTTTAATAATGACTGGTGACCGTGAAAAATAAATGACACATTTGGATACAGCAAGACGAAATCTATGAGAGATCTTCAAAATTTCTGAGAGAATATAATTATAATATAACCTGGAAAAGGGTGAAATAGATCAATGTAATGAACTTTTGGATTTCAAGTTTTCTACTCGATATGAAATTATCATATCCCCCGCGAGTGCTTTCGTCATGTAAGTGGTTAGCAGGCTCAGTTAGAAATGGGAAGATCCGCAATTGCTTCAAAAAGTCTTAATCATCTCTACAAGGTTACTCGAATTAAAATGTAGAAAATGATAACACATTACCACTTAGATTGGTCGACTTTACCCAGCTTCTTCTGGGATTCTCCACTCCCTAAACTCTACTGGTTCTTGTGCCTCTACCCATTCGATTTTAAAGTAATACAGTTAGCAGGTACTGTCTAGCCAACAAAGAAAGAAGAAGGCATCTGATTTCTGTTCTTTTCTGGTTGGAAATTATATACTCTGTGCTTCTGTGTACGGCAGCTAGCCAGTTACGCAATGAAAAAGACTTAAGGAATCAAGATTAAAAATTGTTGCATTAGCCCTGTGTGTGTTGTTGTGATGTAAGTGCGTGTTGTGACTGATCTCACTTATCTTACCTCATCATCAGAACAAGCCCACTAAAATTAGCGCGACGAGAAGTATAAGATTACGCCTGTAGTAAGATCCTTGGGCGTCATATAGGTGACAGTACGATTTTGCCCAGTTTCGCTCCAATTTTGAGAAAGAGCACTTCGAGAGGTGCGTCCAAGAGTCTCCCACCTCTCATTTCCTACCGCCAAACCACACGACAGGACTTCGGCTCGAGATATATTTAGAGTGCCAAAATGCCTCAAATACACTATACATTTACAAACATCCATGCTTTCTCTGGGATTCGAACCTGGGCCCTTCGGCCGTCAGAGTCATTAACCACTATTCCGTTTCCTTGCTCCGAAAAATCTAGTCTTTTCTACAACTGTACTAAGTTATATAATTTAAAGTGCCGACACCTTATTGTAATCGAAATATTTTGAGATCTTGAGAGTACCAATAAATATAGAAAAGTTAAAATATTATTATTCGAAATTGTTTAGTGTCTTCCGCAATATCAGTTCATACACTGCGACATGCAAACAATTTAAAAGACAGAAATAAAGATTCTGCGCAAGCATTATCATAATTAAAGAGTCACGTATTTTATTTTATTCTGAAAAATGGTTTCTTTTTATCTGTCTTAATGAAGTTTTTATGTTTTCCAATAGAATCGTTAGATTTCCATCACTCTGATAAAAGAAAATGTGAAGCTCACTAGACTTTATAATTCAAAGCGTAGAATTGCGCGTCATTTAACAATTCGAATGACAAATATGCCACTACATATCAGAAAAGATTAAAAAATAGAAATAGCAGTCGTAACGGACAGTGATGAATGGGCTGTGATTGTAAAAATACTGTAAAAGTACTATCGATCGATGAATTTTGGCACTTATATCTCACTCCGTGAGAAGTGCAACTTAAAGCCTAGGAGATTAGCCGCTGATGAAATGGAATACAACGTAATACAACTGTATCATATCTTAAATATAATGTAACAGAAACATAACAATCTCTCCTTGAACTCAAATAAAGAAACATATCTTAAAGAGAAAGAAATCATAGAAAATATGGGTTTAAAGAGCTGTACTTCCATTAATGTATGCAAATGTCATGTCTTACATGCATATTTCATTCAGCAAGATACTTTTTGTAAGCTCTGTAGACGTAACCATGCAGGATGTTCAACTCCTTTGTTTAAGAACCTCATCCCTGAAAAATAAATTGTGGTAACCTATATTTCAAAGAAATCATACTGCAATACATTAATATGTTTTCCCCTTAGAATACCGAGTAGAAATATTAAGTAACTTTTTTTTTTTTTTTTTTTTTTTTTTTGAAAACCCGGAGAAATGAAAAATTAGCATCGAACCATGGACCTCTAAAATACCGGCTCAGTGTGCGGACCAATACATCACGAAGGCACGCTAGGAAGGCGGGAGAAATACCTTATAACCATTATATAATTATATTAAGATAATATACGGATAAATTTCTCATACTAGCTCTGTTGAAAATAAAAGTACATTACTTAGCAAGTTTAGATATCATCTTCTTCGAAGTAGTCACGCTAAAATTCAAATGTCCCAGCATTCCCGCCCTTGGAGGAATGACGCCTCAAAGTCATTTTGCATTAAGCGATTCTATAACCTTTTGCATTTGGAACTGAATCTGGACAACGGTGTGTCAATGACGTGGCTTCAACTGCAGTTTGACCTTCTGGAAAAGAAAGAAGCCAGTGGAAGCTATATCTGGTGAATAAAGCCAGTGCTGGAAACGATAGCATTGGCAAGAAACTCCGAAGGAGGAGCGCTCGGCAGCACCATTGTCGTCATTGTAGAATCAAGAGAGCATGCTGCATGTTCAAGAAGTTAGGATTGACTCCTAAGTTCTTGAACATGCAGCATGCTCACTTAGGATGTTAGGATCAACATATAACATATAACAACATATAACAACAATAGCGTGTATAATATCACTGATCGTGTTCCGAAGTTTCGCATGCAGAATTTCTGAATTCGTTCCATATTTTCGGGGATACTTTTCAAGGAAGGTCTTTGATATCGTTTCTGGGCTTATAGTAACGTTCCTTGGCCATTTGAAGTGCAATTCGAAGCATTGTGTGTGATTCATTGCTGAAGCCTATTAGATTTTTATATTATCGATTTTTCTAATTTAAAGCAAAATTTGAAGTTTTTCCACTTTTCTCTTGATGATGTCATCGCACACTACCACAAACACGTGATGACAAAACCACTACTCCAATAACTCCAAATGTTAACCTACCGATACTTTTTGACACACTGCCTTGTCAAGATTGAATGTCTCTATAGCTGCAAGCGCATATCTTTGTCATTTATTAACATACCAGTTTTTATACAGCCGTGTATATCATATCATTTTAATTTTTACGTTAAAAGGAAGCATATTTTCTCAGTTTTGCCTCAAAGAATAACATTTAGATCTTAAATTATCTTTCCCGCAGAATATTGAAAATGAATTATCTTCACAACCATTTAATTCGAAATTTCTGGGAATAAT